AATGGAACATTTGACGGATGCAATTGAAATGAATTGTGTTGGCAAGTTCGGAAATCATTGATTGGAGACACATGCCATGCGCTATTTGCTGTACCTTCACCCCTCCATTATCCATTTTATTCGATGATGGTAGTAAGTAAGTATATTATTTTTCTTGGTATGTGAATTGGTAGAAATGAAGATGTAACAGTGTATCTTCTAAATGGGAAAGTGATTCAGTGTGCATACTAACAAAGAATTACAATGTTCGGAATCACACTGTGCAAAGAGATGGAAATGCTACAAGATAAAAAATTCCATGGCCATCTATTATTCTGAAGTAATACCCCCAAAAAATATCTGATAGGGAAATAGACAAAAGTGAACAATTGAATAGTAGAAAATGGAGGACAGCCTCCTACCCACCTTCAAATGGAGATTCACCACAAAGATTGCACAAAAGTGCTGGGTGAAACACGTTTGGCCTGTCAAGTAGGACCCTTGATGGTGCTAATTTCTGATGTGGAAACTTTGCAGAAAGAGCCCATGAGGTGCTGGCACTTTCTGTGGATTCTGAATTCAGTGCAGGGACCTGGAACAAGGAATGAGACACAGAAAAAAAATTCTTGAATCAAGGGATGAATGGGGGTAGAAGGAAGAATGAATTAGGTCTAGAGCTAGACCCTTGATGAAAAATGAAGAAGTCTGCAAAGAGGCGGAAGTGGAAATGGGGGAGGAGGAGATGGACCTTTGTTTGTCCGATGCACTGTCTCTTCATCTTTGACATGCAGCACGACAAAGCAACACGCTGACTTGATTCTTTTTTCAACATGTGTAGATACATTACCAGTATCAAATACTATATTGTTTTAATGAGTTCTTTCTGTTTATAAAATATGGTAAAGATTATGAATACAAACCATAAATTCACTGGTACAAATATAAGTGACTGGAATTTAAACCATCAAGTGAAATTCAAACTAGTGGAATAGGTGTCCTGTGAGGTAATGATAGGAGTGGGTGGTCAAGCAACAATGGGAAGTCTGGTGAATGAGGGAATCTATTACTATGGTGTGAGGACTAGTTGTACTTCCGTATGACTCAG